AAGACATACTCTAGTTCAACCAGAAGATAGGAACCTGAGACAGGAATCATTTGGCCTGTGTTATTCAGGAGATCAGATTAGATCATCATAATGCTCACTTCTAGCCTTAAAAACTATGAAGTGTTAAATTGCATTTAAAATCCTGTAATTTTATCAAACAAAAGCCATTGATAAGAAGACAGAAGTACAGGCATTTTCCTTTAAATCAAAGTGCTGTTAATTCAAGCATGAGTCAACGACAGAGATCAGTGGAACCATTCTAGAACCCTGAAATGTTCTATAATCAGTGACACATGAAGACATGAGTCACACGAACATCATTAAACAACATGAACTACTCATCTGGACTACTGGATTCTAAATGAACTTTAACCATTAAATAAAAGTATGTAGATAATACTGTGGAGTTCAGTGTAAACACCTGATCAATGGACAGTGGTAATCAAAAACCAAAAAGTCTTAGAGTGGATGAAGAAAGTGATAAAAATAATATAAAATAATATGTCATTATATAAATTAATTGTGGTTCTTCGGCTGCAATATAATATTCAACTCTGGCCTAAAAGGACATTGCAGAAAAAGAGAGAGTCCAGAGAAAAGAAATTATTAGACATGAAGGAAGATTTAAAATGTTCAAGACAATATAGTTTACAGAGCAAATGAAGAAAAGGTGATTAGATAGAGGTATGTAAAATAATGAACTGTTAAAAGTGCCTGCTTAAACTTCTCTAATCTATCATTTCTTATAATACTAGAAGATCTGGATGATAGGTGCTTTAAAAAAGCAGACTAGAGGCATCCAATGAAATTAAATGGCAACAAATGCAAAACTGAAAAAAGGAAATGACTTATTTAAACCATACAAAATTAACTGGTGAACTCACTGGCATGAAGTATTATTGAGGCCAAGAGCTAGCCCAATTTAACAAAGAATTAGACACTCATGAATAATAAAACTATTGAGAGTTACATACTATCACATAGTCTCAGTTAATCTGTAACTGAAAAAATTTACCAAACAAATGGTCTGGTAGCACTTTATAGAGTAACAAAACATGTAGATGGTATCATGAGCTTTCGTGGGCACAGCCCGCTTTTTCAGATGAAAGCTCATGATACCATCTACATGTTTTGTTACTCTATAAAGTGCTACCAGACCATTTGTTTGCTGTTTTTTTTCCTGTAACAGACTAACTCAGCTACCCCCTGAAGCTCCTGAAAAAAATTAAAAAACAATGAATGGTCCTGCAGCACCTTAGAGATTAACAAAAAATGTAGACAGTATCATGAGTTTTCGGGAGCACAATCCACTTCTTCAGAAGAATGTAGTGGATTGTGCCCCCGAAAACTCATGATACCGTCTACATTTTTTGTTAGCCTCTAAGGTGCTGCAAGGCCAATTGTTTTTTAAGTTTATACTATAATATAGAAAATTTAAGAGACAGAAATTACTTATCTATGGTTATTTCTTCTACTATCATCCATCACTATAATATCTCAAAACCTAAATTTATGCTTCAGGATGTAAACCAAACACAAATTACTTAGGATTAGGGAGAAACCAATTGTCCATTATTGGCATTCTTGTACCTTCCAATGAAATATCTAATACTAGCCACTATAAAAACAAGATACTGAACTAAATAAGCACTGGTCTGATTCGGTATGGCATTTCCTATGTACCTATTAAAGACCATTCTCAGGAGCAAAATTAATCCCTGAGCAAGTTCACCTTTAAACCAGGAAACTGCAAAACATTACAGTGCTCTCACACTTTTTACTGTATCCTAGATCAATTTTCAAAACAAAAAACTGACCCTAGTGAGAAAAACAAATATTTTAAGCGTACAAAGAAGCACATAAGTGAAACAAATATGTGCTTCTTTGTACGCTTAAAATAAGTTATGTAACATGTGACGATCAAAACAAAAACAGAAGACTATGGTAAAAATATATATGAATGAGAGCATCCAGGTAAAGTCCTCTAAAATGCTTGAAACGTGAACGCTTATTAAAGTATACCACTAACACCAGCTACAGCTAACTACACCGTTACTACAGAGTCACAGCTTGTGGTTCCACATGCTAACGCTAACCATATGGCATAAATAAAACCCTAATCTCTCCACCCCCTTGTTCTCTCCCCTATGGTTCTTAGCTTGGGTCCGCATGGATCTCCTCAACAAAGAGCGATGAGGCAGATACCAGACCGGCTAAAACAACAGATGGATTCTCCCTTGGTGTAAACATCTTTAGCGTGGGCATAACTTTTATTCCCACTGCAAACTGATACTTTGTAGGTCAGTAAAAGGGTAAACAAGGTGCTGAGGACAACTCCAGTTGGTGAGCAGCTACCTCACTGGGTTTAGTAGGACCAGTTGGGACTCTGGCAGCATCCTGCCAGATGCAGATGTCTGGTCCTTCTTAGCATAGACGGGAGAATGAATTTTTTTTTGTTTTTTTGCTCAGACTATTTTATATTTTAAAATTAACAGTGACACTGCAGAGTACCGCTTGTTGAGAGATAAGCACAGGTCCAATGTGGTTACTGTCAATGTTTTACCTCAATGAGCTAGGAAAGGGTCAGTCATACCCAACCGGAGTTAGAAATTGCAGTGGTAGCACAAATATAAGGGCGACAGTGATAAGGGACATGGTAGCAATGAGACAAGTGAGTAACACAGCAGCGAAAGCAATGAAGGAAACAACGGCCACAGCAACCAGGAGAAGGGAGATGGTGGGGAGGGATGTTAATTCTAGAGAGCCGATGGTAACGCCAACACGCGTGGTGGTGAAGTTGTCGTGGGGAATAACGGAAAGGATCACATCAAGCGAAACGATGGCGAAGGCAACTGCGATGAGAGAAAGGGTGGTAATGGAAGCCAAAGGCAACATGGAGCACGATGGCAACCGCGGCGGCTCAACGATGGCAAACGCAACCCAACGGAGGAAAATCACGGCCACCCCGGGGCACGATGCCAACGAGGGCGGCAGAGGGAGACGGAGCCAGGCCAATGCCGTGGGGGCACCCCAGGAGAGCGTCAACGAGGCCGGCACCCACCCCAC